CTCCTGACCTCAAGTGATCCACTCATCTCTACCTCCCAAAGTACTGGGATTACAGAGGTGAGCCACCACACCCAGCCTATCCATTTATGTCTTGATAGACACGTGGGTTGTATCCACCTTTTGGCTACTGTGAATCAGTGTACAGATAGCTCTTTTGAGACCTTGCTTTCAGTTCTTTTGTGTATACAGAGGGTTGTTAAAATATATAAATCAGAGCAAATCACCATGCAAGGTCTTCCCCCAGCTTACAGCCCCCAAACCATGGGTTCCCAACTGCCTGACCTGTGTGATTCTGCCTAATATGCCCAGTCACTCCCTGTTATTGGTCCCCTGACTCCACTCTAGCCACAATATCGCATTGGCTGTCCCTCAAGCACAGCAAGTTCATTTCTGCCTCAGGGCTCCTGCGTGCCCTGTTTCATCTGAGCACGTCTTCAGCTATCATCTAGCTTCCTTAGTGCAGCCAGGCCTCTGCTCAGATGTCTAATACATCAGTTATTTATTGCTGTGGAACTGATTACCTCAAAACCTGGAGCTCCGACACAATCATCATTTATTCTCTTTCACTTGGTGTGGCAAAAATTGGGGTTTTTCAGGGTGGTTCTGACTCAGGGTTTCTTATGCCACTGCAGTCAGATGTCAACCAGGGTTGCAGTCTCATCTGAAGGCTCTATTGGGGCTTGGGCTCCACTTCCAAGATGATTCACTCTCACACAGTGAATCAGTACTGGTTGTTGACTGGAGGCCTAGTTCCTCCCCACACAGGGCTCTCTACAGGTCAGGCTGACAGCCTTACAACACGGTGGCTGATTTGCCCCAGAACAAGCTATCTGAAGATGCAAGGCTGAAACCATGATGCCCTCTGTGACCCAGCCACTCTTGCCACTCTTCACTGGCCACACAGACCAGCCTGATTGACTGTGGGAGGAGACTACACAAGGGCATGACCTGGGATGTGAGGATTGCTGGGGCCACCTTGGAGGCTGGCAGCCTGACAGGCATCTTCCACCTCTTTCTTTGCCTGACTCACCTCCCTAGCTCTTAACAGATCAACATGCCAATGTGTATTTGTGTCCTCTGGTAACAGGGAAGCTCCATGGTGAGTAGAGCTTCCTGTCTTCCCTGTGATCTAGCTCTGGGTTGGGCATATGTTTAGGGGACATTTTTTGGATGAATTAATGAGTGACAGGATAAATGATGGCCCCTGGCCATGTGAGAATGTGGGAGGACAATGTCCTCGCTCCTCAGTGTTCAGGCCCCTCATTACCCACCATCACCTCTTGGCCTGGTCACAGTCAGCTCCAGCCATGCAGGTCTCCCACAGCCCATGGGGGTTGCATCCCTCCTACCCCTGGCCTAGGAATACCCCATCTTCAGCCTCAGTCTCTCGGGGAGGCTACCCTGTCATTTTTACAGTATCTGTCCTCACCCTTCTATTCTTAACCCTAATTGTCAACATAGCTAGCCATGTGCATTTATTAAGTGCCTCCTGCATGCCAGCCCTTATGAAATGAACACTGCAGCATAGAGGATGGTCAGCAGGGAAACCGTCATTGGGCACAGTGGGGTGTGGTGGTGAGTGATGTGGTCTGGAAGGGCCAGAGTCCAAGGTGGGCAAGGATGCTAGGTAGGGAGCTGGGAAGAGCATTCTGGGTGGAGGTCACAGCACACATGAAGATTTGTAAATGGCAGAGCTGGCTGCTGGAGGAATAGGAAAGCTATGAGCCTGGGGTGGGGGAGGAGGATGGTCAGATTCAGTGTTATGGCCCCTGTGGCCACCATGTGGTTTCTGGGCTGTGGAGTCAAGGATGGGGCAGGGAACCAGTAAGACGTGAGAAGGCAGCTGCCACCTTCCAGGCAAGAGATAACAGGGATGGTGGCCACCGAAGTGGGAGCAGGGCTGGGCTTGGAAGAGACAGCTCACGAGGACAGGGTGCAGGTGAGCAGAGGCCTGAGTGAGGAAAGGCTAGCCCTATGAAAACCAGGGGGAACTGCCTCCACCCCACCCAGTGCAAAGAACTCCCGTGGAAATGAGCTTTGTCTGCGTGTAAAATTGTGCTTGCTTTCTCATGAGATCAAGCATGTGATGGCAAGAAAATCTGAGAGAAGCCAATAGCAAGGTGGGGGCCGTTCAGAGGAGTGGGTGTCAGGGCCAGGGCATCTGTGACATCAACAAAGATTCTTTCCTTGACCAAACTTTAGTCAGGACCCTCAACTTTCTCCTTGGCCCATCCATGAACTTCCTTGTAAAAATCCAGTTTCAACAAAAAGCCCTCCTAGTGAGTTTAGCAAGAACTCCCCACCCTGGATACCTGATCACCCCGATACCCAATCAGGGTCCTCGCCCCACCATCCCTGGGTGAGGTCTCGTCAGTCCAGCCTATCTTTGCAAGAATTCTGTCAGCCGGAATCCCCCTCACCCCAATGTTTCCTCTTCCTATTTTCCATCCTCGGAGCCCCCTCCTGTCCCACTTGTCCTTGCTGTATTTGGAGTTGAGCCCAGTTCTCTTCTGACATCTCTCTTCTCCTATCACAAGAGTCCTGAATAAAATGTGTTTCTACATCTATAACCACAGTCCAGCTCTGGTTTTTGACTAACCAAGGGCAGGGCTTCCTGTTCATGCTTCGCCTTGGTTCACACTTTCTAAGGGTCCCCCACCTTCCTAGTACCTCACTTTCCATTTGGGGTCCAGGCAGCCAGGGCTGGCCAGGAGGGAGGATGCGTGTGCAGGGGAACACCCAGGACCTGCCCTTTGACTGTGGGGTGCCTGTGCCTGCTTGCAGCTCCTGCAGGGGCATCCTGGCTGTAGACCCCTGGCTGCACCAGCAGCTGTCCTGCTTTCGGCCAAGGCCTTCCATCCCATAGGCTTGGAGGGCATATCCCAGAGGGCACAGGGCTTTGAGGCCCTGCATGTAAACTTGGGTTCCTTGAAGTAAATCCTCTTCAAACCCTTGGGTGGACAAGGAGCAGTGACCTGTACCTGGGAGGCCATGTCTGGCTGCTAGACTTTGGGCAAGGGGCTTCATGCTCCAAGCCTCAGGTTCCCTGTCCGTCACATGGCCAGGGGCAATCCTGAAGGGGCTGGGGTGGGGGCTCCCTGAAGGTGGGCAGTGCCTGAAGCCCCTGAGGTCCCCACTGTGTCCCCCTTCCACTCAGTCCCCACCCTTATGGCTCTGAAATCTCAGTGGCAAGAGTATGTGCAAAATAAACCCAGAAAGTTAAGTACTAGACACCATAACAGTGTGATGGATGCAGAAGAATTGGGGTCAGGCTGCATCCCACTGGGACACAAGAGGCCATCTGGGGAATCCCCCTCCAGATCCCCCCAGGGAGCACCTGGAACCCAGAGCCAGCCTGGACTCACTCAGGCACACATGCAGATGAAAGGCCTGGAGGGATCCACAGGCTGGGCCACTGCCCTCCTGCCCTGGGGCTGGTCCTGTCCATGGGCCTGGGGCAGGTTGGATCTGATGGCAGCCTGGCCTCCCGGGGAACCCGGGCAGGGGCTCACCTTCCGTGTTTGGGGACAACGGTGGCTGCTGTGCAATGACCATGACTGGGCCCCAAGAGTTTTGAGGTTACCAGGTGACAACTGCACCCATTCTCCAGATGCCTTGGATGCAGGCCCTGATGGCAGGTCATGGCACAGTGGAGAACTGAGGCACAGCGACAGACAGCACATGGACTGCAGGGACCACTGTGCTGTCCCAGAAGTGAACACTGCGTTGGGCACCCCCATTCCGGGTCAGGCTCCGGCATCTCAAATTAGAGCTGCTATGGAGGAACGGCCAACACAGGCAGAGAGGGAAACGGGAAGGGAAGCTGCTGCTGCTGGCTGGGAGGGCGCTGCTCTTCCTTCTCGGGTCTCCCATTTCCTGGCTGGGGCCCAATCGCATCAAGTGGGGCTGGGGATTCTTGCGGTGGGCGCAGGAGCTGGAAAGGCCAGGCCTACGGGAAGCGGGAAAGCGGACGGGAAGGTGGGGAGTTTGCCCGAGGTCACTCATTTTACAGTCCAAGAAACTGAGGCTCGGGCAGGTTAAGTGACCTCCATAGTTAGGGTCACACTGCCAAGCTAGCGTCTTCTTTTGAAGGTGGGGGACGGGGGTCCCCCAAGAAGGCGATGCCCACCCCCGGCGAGGTCACACCGTTGAGTCCAACTTCTCCCCTGGATCTGGGCACTGCCTGCTTCGGCTGGTCCCTGTGCGGTCCTGGACGCCCACCGGCCTCTTGCCCCAGGCCTGGCCCTGTACCACCAAGGGCCTGACTTCCTGCATGACCTTGGATCAGTCACGTCCCCTCTCAGAGTCTCAGTTTCCTCATGCCAGGGGTGGGGCGCGAGGCCGAGGGCGGGCGGCGGACGGAGTGGGCCACCGCCCGTGCCACCTGGGTCCCGACTCCGCCACCCAGCGCGGCAGGGCCCGGAAGGGCAGGCCCAAGACGGACGGGGCCCCCGGCAGGAGCGGGCGGAGCCAGGGAGGCGCGCGGCCGCAGTAGGTGAGGCCGCGCCGAGGGCGGGACTTGAATGCGGGCAGGGCTCGAGTGAGAGGCGGGGCTTAAGGCCCCTGGTCAACGCCCGCGGGACCCGCGCCCGGCGAGGGGAGGGACTCTGGGCCCCTCACGGCGTCTTAACGGACGCTGGGAGAGGCGGGAGCCCGGTGGTGCCCGCCCACGTACGCCGCGGCAGGGTCGAGCAGGAAGGGGCGGGGCTCAGGGTCTCTGGAGGCGCGGAGGCCGACGCCGAAGGGGCGGGGTTCGAGTGAGGGGCGGGGCCCAGGGCTCCAGGAGGCGCGGAAGCCGAAGGAGGGGGCGGGGCTCGCGAGGGGGCGGGGCTCGGGACTCCCGGAGGCGCGGAAGCCACCGCCGGAGGGGGCGGGGCTCGAGTGAGAGGCAGGGATCAAGGATCCTCGCAGCGGCCTAACCCAGGACGGCAAGGGGGCGGAACTCGAGTGAGGGGTGGAGTTTAGAGCCCTGGATGCGCCGTGGAGGGCGCGGCAGGGGCGGGATCTACCGGAATGGGGAGGGGCTCATCGGGGGCGGGGTTTAGACTCCCCGAGGCTACGGTGCAGCAGCCGGGGACGGGCCTAGTGAAAAGGGGCGGGAGATCACGGCCCGCTGGCGGCAGTCACCGGAGCGAGTGGACCGGGCGGCCGACCGAGGGGCGGACGCACGGCGCGGCAGACGTCTGGGGACTGCAGGCGGCGCCGTGTCCATCGCCATGACAGGTGGGCGCGGGGCTGGCTGGGCGCAGGGGTGCGGGCGCCCTGGATGGGTGGCCCGGCCCAAGGGTCCGGCTGCTTTGTGAGTCGCCTTGCAGGCCGCGCCTGGGCTGCAGGGGCCGAGTGACCTTGGCCCATCAGCTGGCGGTGGTGCGCGGGTGCACCCTTGAGAGGTGGTGGGTGTCCCGGGGCTTCTGCCCGGCGGGGCCATGTCTGCCGAGGCGGTGCCCGGCGATGGGCGGTGGCCAGGCGCGGGGCCGAAGAGGGCGGAGGTTACAGGGCAGCTCCGGGGTGGGGCTGCACGGCCAAGATCTGGGTTCGGCCACTGCAAATCTGTGTTGGGAGGTGTCCCGCGGTGGGGAGTTTGGCCTGAAATAGTAGGCGGTGATAGAAATGACACCAGGGAGCATTCACAAGGGTCCTGCTGTGATTCTGGCCATGGAAACAACGCTCCATCCTTGCCACCACCCAAACGAGGTGGCGGGACTGGAGATGCGTTCCTCGGAGGCGTGTGGTTTCTGTGGGACTCTGTGCAGCCTCCCAGACTCCCTCGAGGGTCCACGACCCCCTTGCCCCTGTTTAGGCCTAAGGGAATCGGGAACAGCAAGTGGACCCTCCAAAGTTGTTGTGCTCCACGCTGGTGGCCCCAGCCCAGCCATCCTCCCCAGGGCCTCTCTGGTCTGAGGACCTGCCCACCGTCCTCCTGGTCTCAGACAAACAAGATGACCCTGCTCTGTGGACCCTTCTCCCCTGTTGGAGAAGCCCCATGAGGGTGATAAGCTGTTAAAGAACCCCATGGTAGCCCGGTCAGGGAATATGGGGGTTCCCAGAAGCCACACTTGATTCTCAATGTTCTGCTTCATGGAGCAGAATTGGCTCAGGGGTCAGGGTGGCCCCAGAAGTCCCTAGTCCTCTCTCTCCGTGCTTCCTCACTTGAGTCTCAGCCTAGGCCCTGCACACAAATAGGATCTCATGGGCTGGAAACCGATGACTTCCAGGACACCAGGCCAGAAGAGACCCCTTCTTATTTGTGACTACCATTTCTGAGCACTTACTGTGCACTGGACCTTATGTTGGGTGATTCCTGTCCAAAATGATCAGATGGGGACACGTGGAATATCTTGTCTGTGTACAGATGGGAAACAAAGTCTTAAACTGTGCCCTGCCCAGGGTGGGATTCCCTAGCTCCCTTAGCGAGTTCATCAAAATGTGTGGGGCACAATTCAGAGCTGTGTTGGTCTTCAAGGAGGCCTGCCCCAGGGACTGGGTGTTGGCAGAGCCTGAGGCCTTGCTGTCCATTGAGGAGCCTTCTTGCACAAAGGGACCCTGTCCCTTGCTGTCCGTCAGAGAAGCCTTCTTGCACAAAGGGACCATGGAGCTGGGAGAGCACATCAGGCAGGGGTTCCCGAAGGCTCTGACTGTCAGCTTCACCTTTTCGAGAGAGTGGGAACTGTGTACGTTTCCCACCTCCTGTGTCTACCCTCTGGGCCTGGAGACATTCCCTTACCACCCTTAGTTTTTGGGATGGGGAACCAAGGCCCATGGAGCACAGCTCTGGGAGGGTCATATGGACAGCCATCTGAGGCTGCAGACCTGTAATCCCAGTCTCATTGCCTCTGTGCACCAACTGGGGGCCTACCTCGTGCCAGCCCTCTCTATGAGTATCGCATGTGAGCCAGTGGCTGCAGAACACTGAGGAGGCGTCTGCGTGGGGCAGGTGCTTGACAAGTTACCTCCTGGGCTGTGCCGGGGAGTGAGCAGTCTTAGTTGGGCTGAGCACTGGAACAAGGGGACTTCTAGAAGAAATTCAGGAGGGGAGGTCGATGCCCAAGTGTCTAGACTCCAATTGGTTCGGGGCTGGAGGAACTCAGGAAGGTCTCTTATAGGTAGGACAGGAAGCTGAACATGAGTTAACCAGGTAGAAACCTAAGGAATAGGTATTCTCAGCCCAGGGTGGGGGTCGCAGACGGAATGGTGCTGTTGGGGGCTGCCAGGCAGGAAAGTCTCATGGGCCTAGAGGGCTGGGTGAGCGTAGGTGGGGCCAGCTCCCACAGGGCCTCAAATGCCAGGCTGAGGGCATCAGTCTGGGCTGGTAAGAAGGTTCATGTTGGGGTGATAGAGTGTGGGTCCATGGTTCTGGTGCCAGCTTGGCAAGAAGGCAGGGGATGTGGGATGTGGGTGTGGTGAAGCCTTGGCGGGTGTGTGCCAGAGCGAGCCATCTTCCTTTGTCCTGTAAACAGTTCAGAGACTTGTTTATGGGGAGCTGGCACCGAGACGGTTTCCTTTCTTGTGCCTTTTCTGGCTTCCAAGTGCTGCCTGTGTGTAGTTTGCATGCACAGCTCACAGGCAACCACAGGAAGCACAGAGCGCCCAAGCCGCAGAGCCCGGATTCGGAACCTGGACCGTGCTGCCTATGCCAGCTGACTCATGGCTCACGGTGACTCATGGCTCTGCAGCCGCGGAGGCTCCGCCTGGCTAGCGGCTTGCAGAGCAGGAGGAGGCCTCTACGGGATGCTGGCCATGGTCCACCTACAGCCCTTGCCCTTGGGCCTTGGACCATTCATTGCAGAACTCTTTAGTGAGCACCAACTGTGTGCCCAGCCACGTGGGCAGCGCTGGAGAGGACAGCCTTGGGCCTGCTCTTGGTCTGGCAGGGAGTAGACTGCTGTAGCTGATGACAGTGAATTCGCATGTTCCTCAGAGTTGCGGAATGTCTGGATGTCAACAGGTGGTCCTCAACACGGCTATGCCTAGGCCCGGATCTTGATCAGTCACTTCATATCTGGCTGCAGTCTCGGGCAGGTGCCTTATCTTCTCACTGTGCCTTAGTTTCCCTGTCTGAAAATGGGGCTTGTGGTCATCTTTATGTTGCAGAGCTGTTGGAAGGATGAAGTTTGTAGGTAGATGTAGGACTCACAGAATGCCAGACATATGGGATTGTTCTGTGGATTTTGGCTAATTCATTTTAGTTCTTGAACTAGAGGGCTGCAGGTGCTGGAGCCTGTCCATGTGGCCTTGGCAGGTCACTTGGCATCCCTGTGCTTGGCTTCCTCACCATGATGGGGCTGCTGGCGAATCTGCATAGGCTGCTGGGGGACTCAGTGCAGGTGAGGGCTGAGCCAGACTACCCAGCCCCAGACACTGCCTCCCTGTGCGGCCCATGGCGAGTGGCTTCAGCCAGATGATGGGGTGGCTGATGGCCTCAAGTGGGCATCGTTGGGGGTAGCCACTGTGAACCAGGATGGCCCCCCTGTTACTCTCTTGAGGGCAGGTATCTGTGGGGTAAGGACATGTTTGTGGGGTTGCTTGGTGAATGCCAGCCCGCACCCATACCCTGTGAGCCCCTGGAGGATGTGGACGGATCTGCCCATCACCATGGTCCTGAACCTGGTGCAGGGCAGGCATGCTAAGATGGGCTGTTCTCACCTGGGCCTCGGTCTGCGGGGTCTGCACAGGGCACCATGGAGCATGGCTGCTTTTGGGGCAGATCCATGTTCTGTGGTGCAGAAAGACCAGACAGGAGGCAGTGGCAACTGGAAAGAGACATGAGGAAGTAAAACAGTCTCTTGAGTCTGTGCCTCAAGGAGGAAACCCAAGAGGGGCCCCACTATGTCCAACATGATGACTGTTTTTGTTTTGAGACAGTCTCACTCTGTCGCCTGGGCTGGAGTGCAGTGGCACACTCTCGGCTCACTGCAACCTCCAACTCCCAGGTTAAACGATTCTCCTGCCTCGGCCTCCCAAAGTGCTGGGATTACAGGCGTGAGCCACTGTGCCCAGCCTTCATTTCTTTTTTCTTTCTTTCTTTTTTCTTTGTTGACACAGAGTTTTGCTCGTTGCCCCGGCTAGAATGCAATGGCATGATCTTGGCTCACTGCAACCTCTGCCTCCCGGGTTCAAGCGATTCTCCTGCCTCAGCCTCCCAAGTAGCTGGGATTACAGGCATGTGCCACCACGCCTGGCTAATTTTGTATTTTTTGTAGAGATGGGATTTCTCCATGTTAGTCTAGCTGGTCTCGAACTCCCGACCTCAAGTGATCTACCGGCCTTGGCCTCCCAAAGTGTTGGGATTACAGGCGTAAACCACTGTGCCCGGCCTCAGCCTTCATTTCTTTTTAGCACTGAATAATATTCGTTGTATGGACAAACCAGAGTTTCTTTTCCATTTACATTTTTTTGTGAGAAAATATACAGAAACATAAAATTTACCTTCTTATCCATTTTTCAGTGTACACTTCAGTGATTTAAATATACTCATCCGCCAGAGCTTCTTTACCATCCCAAACAGAAATTTTGTACCCATTAAACAATAACTCCCCTTTCTCCTTCTGCCCACACCTTCTGATAATCTCTATTCTATTTCCTGTCTCTATGAATTTGACTGCTCTAAGTACTTCATATAAGTGGAATCATATAATATCTGTCCTTTTGTGCCTTGTTTATTCATCCATGTTGTAACATCCATGTATCAGAATTTCCTTTCTTTTCAGGGCTGAATAATATTCCATTGTGCATATATATACTACATTTTGATAATTTCATCTTTTTGGTGAACATTTGCACTATTTCCATCTTTTGGCTATTTTGAATAATGCTGCTATGAAAACCAGTGTGCAAGCATTCACTGAGTTCCTGCATTTATTTATTTATTTATGACACAGTCTCACTTTGTTGCCCAGGCTGGAGTGCAGTGGTGTGATGCTGGCTCACTGCAACCCCTGCCTCCCGGATTCAAGTGATTCGCATGCCTCAGCCTCCCCAGTAGCTGGCATCACAGGCGAGTGCCACCACACCTGGCTAGTTTTTTGTATTTTTATTTTATTTTATTTATTTATTTAGACGGAGTCTCGCTCTACCACCCAGGCTGGAATGCAGTGGCCTGATCTCGGCTCACTGCAACCTCCACCTC